AACGTCAAATATAACTAATGCTTACATACATTGCTTTTTTGTCACACAACGGCAAATAATGTATTTTCATTGAACCTTTTATTTCAATGCGATTTTATTTATTTTATTTGAATGAAATTACTTGACAAACGATTCAATCAACTTTTACGTCAGGAAAATGATATTTATTATTTATATTCATGAGAAAAGATTTAATTAACAATAAAAATATTCTGCATTAATTATATTCCAAGATGTTGTAGTTTGAGGCACACCTTAATTTTCAGTACGACTAGAGAACAACGATTTAAATTTGAAGCAAATTAATTAACAGAAATATAAAGGCTTATAAATTCCGGAAAATATTTATAGTGAATGGATCTTTGATTTGTGAACAGCAACAGCGCATCAATTTAGATTACTTTGTAGGAGTTTATTTTACTTTCCTAATAGTTATTTTTATTTTGGAACAAGCTTTCCTTTACTCTCTTGTTTCCCACTTACGATACCCTACCAGAATGAGGTTTCAGGATCTTGTTTTATGTTATGTTATGTTATGTAATGTAGAAGCGAGGGGGCCACCTAATATTTACCCTAAGTAAGCAGGTATTAGCTCAACACACTAACTAGAAAACTAACATCATTCTGGCATCATTCCTCGATTAGTGATGGAAAACGTGACTCCAGTGAGCACTATAAGTACTGCCACCGGCGGTGGCATCAACGGTACTCCTACCTTTCAGCGTTAAATTAGCTCAAGGGATTGAATTATATGATATACATTGCGAAATACATAGTTGTGCAGGCGCATATTTCAAGATGTTATCAATAGATAACATCTTGAATATTGCAATAGTAGTGGGTGCAGGCAACATGTTTCAGGACATTATATATTGCATTAGAAACAGGGCGGGATGTTCCCACGTTACAAATCATTTTTGTAAACATGATCTGCTTACTATCAGAATTAATTAAGAACTATAAAATTGTTTCACAAAGCTTACATTTAAGTAACTGTTGTAAAGTTGTGCTGAAACTTTAATAGCTCAATTTTGACGATTCATTATTGTGCTGTAACGTACGTTTTGTACGTTAATTAATTTTCAGAAATTATATTTATTGTCTAGTAGTACATTGTTATTTGCATTTAAAAATTGATCATAATATTATAAATTGAGGTGGCTAGAAGCAGCTTATTTCTAGTATATAGATCATGCCTACAATCATGACTTGTTTACATAATTTTTTGTTACAAACAGCTGTCAAAAATAGAATATATAAAATAATAAAAAAGACATTAATAAATAAGTCTGAAAAAAAAAGAAAAAAATAGCTTCATCTGCATACTTATGAGTACTACGTACTTTTAAATATATCTGCATACATTTGCTGACACATTGCCAACTTATTTTTGTCAGTTCATTGTATGCAATTACGTGTATTTTTACAGTAATTAGTTTACATGAATTACTATGATACATTACATTGTTGATACTTTACCAACTGAATGCTGGTTATTTATTATATGTGTTCTCTTGTATCAGGTAATGTGACCTTATGTTACATAGAAATGTAGAGGTCATATATTATTTACCTGAAGAAAACAGATAGGAGTCCCTTACCCTACTTGAGAGTGACCTATTTTGTGCTTCATATGGATTACGGTGCCTATTTCTTTCCTATAAAGGTACGCCCGCGTACATTATATCTGCATTTAATTGCTTTATTTTGCTATTGCTTGAGCATTTCTTTGAAGGCTAAATTACACTACATAGCTCTTGACTTCTAGCAGCCAAAAAGTCAATAACCTTCGTTATTTTATTCTTCAAGTGCTTGTTTTTAACTACATATCTTAGAAATGGGAATAAATCCTCTTCTGAATTTGGCTTCTTTAGATGAAGGGAATTTGTAAACGGGTAGGAAAATAGATAATGTTCGGGCTGAAACTTTTTACCACATGCACAGGAATCTGATGAAGAGAGATTTCTTGCATAGAGTTACGTGAGAAAGGGAGCGTGCCCCGTGATAAACCATGTGATATGTCTGGAGAGAGGGATTGGAGGAGAGTCAACTTTGGGGAAGAGGTTGTAAACTCTTCTGCCTGTATTTGCAACGTCCCACCATTTTTGCCATAAGTCTTTAGTTTTGATCTGTAGTTTTAGTTTGAGGTGAGAAGGTGGCCAGGCGATGCTTATTTTCTTTGCATTGATTCCCTGTGCTGCCTCCTTGGCTAATATGTCAGCCTCTTCGTTTCCTTTATGACCAACATGGGCCTTGATCCAGATTATAAAGAAGTACTGGCCTTGGGCATTGGAGAACTTTATAAGAATTTCCTGAGCTAATGGTGATCTATTATTTGTGTTCGCGAGTGCATACATTGCCGAGAGACAATCTGTACAGATGTATGTCCTGTAAATCCTATAGAAACCAGTATAAGTCTAGGTCACTTCAGTAGAAGAGATTAGAATTTCCTAGTAGAGCGTGTTCTGCCCGTTGGCCACGTCGTTGCTTTAAGTTTAACCTTACGACTTTTGGCCGTAAGATGTTAGTGAGATTTTAGTTTTTGCACATTTTCAATTTAAAGTTTTTCATATTATATGCAACCCAAACATCGTTTATGCATTTTAAATTACCTAAATTCAGTTGCTGGGAAAATGTTTGTTACAGAAACTGAAAAATTCTAGAAGCTAGAAATTCTGATGTTTTCAAAACTAAATTTCATTTTTACATTATGTGGTTTCTCAATTCACGTTAAAACTTCCATTTAATGGTATATTAGTTCAAAGTATGTCCTTAGTTAAAATTTGGCATATGACAATTACTACAACAGCACAATTTGATGTATTATCAATACAATCAAAACGCAAAAATCGGTACAAAATATATCATAGGAATAGCATTGGCAGATATGTTTACAGTTGTTTTCATGCTTGTGTAAAATTTGACGGCCTTTATATTGTATTTTCAAGATTTTCCTGCTTTTTCGGGCGCGCGCCGGCATGTGCTATTTTGTTAAGGAGCCACACTCTAGGAGCCAAGCAGCCACGGTTTGCCAACCACTGTTGTAGGTTATTGCCTCGTCGTATGAGAGTTCTTCTGGCCCGCAAAAAGGAGAACCCATATAGCTAGAATTTAATGTTTACATCTGTTAAAAGTCAATATTTAATATGATATATAGTATTTTCTACCTTCTTTCCACGTGCCTTTGTGGTGTAACAGTAGCCCACTCGGGGCGTATTTGAGAGTTCCAGGTTCAAGTCTCCGCAAGGGCATTGCACATTTTTCACCTCCTTTACTTCAAAATAATTTTACTTCTCTACAGTGACGGTGACTACTAAAAGGTGGAGGTCGGTCGTTACCATCAAGAATCGGCGATTGGCTTCCCCCCTCTCCCGTTGCCCTGAAGTTTATAAGGTATTTTCTCCCTTCTTCCAGCATGCCTCCGCGGTGTAACAGTAATACACCCTGCGCTTGTTCAAAAGGTCCAGATTCGAGTCTCAACGAGGATATTGCTCACTTTTCATGTTTTCTGCATCGAAAAAATGAATGACTTTGCTGTGGCGCCGGAACTAAAAGATGGTGGACGATAAATTATCCCCTTCAGGATTTGGTAATTGGGTCCTCTTATTCCCAGTCGCTCTTTCAAAGGGCAGTATATAAGTTATTTTCTGCCTCCTTTCCGCATGCCTTCGTGGTGTAACTATAACACACTCAGTGCATATTCGAGAAGTCCAAATTCAAGTCCTGGCAAGGGCACTGCAAATTTTTCACGTCTCCAGCTTCAAGGTAACCTAATGTCTCTACAGTGCTATTGATTAAGGAACGAAAGTGTTAAGTTGTAGAAAACCTTCCCCAGTTTTAGAATTAGGAAGACAAAGATCCGTGTTTTTTGGAAACAAATTATTTATTGTTTACAACGTGAGTATTGAAATGTAGCATCCAGATGAATGAACTATTTCTTCTCTTTCTATTCAATTAACACTGCCAATAAAAACATCGACATTCAATAAGAAACAAACCAATCACTTTGACTTTTATTAAATATAAAAATTTCATTAATTCCGTTGGTTTATATGCAATTAAAACAATTAATAATATGGATCTTAAGGAACAAGAAACAAAAATTGTTGCCCAAACCTCAGCACATTTTATAAAAGAAAATTATTTATAAAGGTAAAAGATTTGAAAGATTGTTAGGCATTGAACAGATACTTAGAAATCTTTCTAAGGATAAAAGCTCATACTGATTCCATAAGATTAATTTGGTAGCCCAGTTTACTCTGACTCTAGCATTCGAAACTTCTGTGGGTTTATATACTCCAAGTTTAGATAAACAGAGATGAAAAATAATTATGCAAAGACTGAATTTTAAGATGACACCCGTTAATAGCGATTCAGAGTCTTAACGATTAAGTTTTTAAAGAAACTGATTCTCAATAATTAAATAAATAAATATAACCTAGCGTTTGGCAGAAACGCTAGGTTATATTTATTATAAAATAATAAATAAGAAAATAAGTTTATGAAATTCCTCATGGTATTTAAAAATTGATATACCATACTTTCTTCTAGGAAAAGCTTTAAATATTTAGACATTAGTTTGCTTCAGAATTAGTTTATCCGAACTGGGAAAGAGAGTATGAGAACTTGGTTAACAGAGGTATAGGTTCAGTAATCTTGAATCAAAAAGGATTCAACTAATTAGAGATTGATTGAAAAATAGAGATAAAAGTATTAAATGCAATAATTAGAAATTTGTTGCTTTAAGAGAATGACGCATACTTATTTGAAAAATTCTCAGTTTTATAAACAGGAAAAGTTTTGTAAACCCATTTTTAGTTTATTTTTTCCTTCTATGTTAGTGCCTAAAATTAACTCTGTGCTTTTTACTTCCCAGTACTTCCCTAAATATCAGATAATACTTCGTGCCGTTTTTCTTCCGATTTTTCACATTTAATCTCTCTTCTTAGAAAACAAATGAAGTATAAATTATTGTTTTATACCAGGGGTAAAAAAACTGCGGCATTACCATATTCTTCCAATTAATTAGATGTCAGAATATTGAATGTTTTATTTTTACTTTTGGCAATATATTTTGGGTAATTTTTCATCAAATTTATTAAGATTTATTCTTTAAAGTCAAATTTAATTTCTAATCTAATAATAAATAACGCAAAAACATTTTGACGCTTTTAACTCTCCAGGATACTAGAACATTAAATCTAAAAACATAAACAAATAAAATAACAGAAAGAGGAACAGAGAGAACTAACGACTTCGGGTTTGGGGGAAGGATCTGAAGAAATAAAAGAGAATTCGAAACTTTCTATGTATACAAGTGGGGGAACGGAAGGGGCTGAGTGTCCCATCGAGGTCCTAGTCTCGTCGTCGCCCTGTTACGGGGGAAGACTGACATTGTGAGTTTACATTCGGGGCCTTAGTGTCGGGCGCCACCCCCTATAATAATCACGTGACCTCCTTTTTGAGGAACTTTTCCTGGCCATGAAAAATCGACAGCTTAAATGCTCGCCAGAAAAGTCGCCAAGCGGTCGGAAAAACGGCAGTCACGTTATTTTATCATGACGTCATGCTACAAACGTGGTTATCATCTTTTTCGCCTTTCGGTACGTCATTCCGATGTTCCTTACCGATGTTTATGTTTTTTTTTTATTTTATTTCTCATTGAATGTTTCTAAGCGTATACTTGAAATATGTTTAGCCTTGTAACTTAAAGTGTTGGAGTGTATAATACTATTAATGAGTACGCTTTTTTTATCATACAGTACCATTTCATAGTATTCCATGCGAAATGTACTATTTTAATCTCTGATTACGATATAACTACAACAGAAATTAATTCAATTTACCGGTTTCCGCTTTTATGAAAGATAAATGATTCAAGCAAACCGAATCGAAACGGAAAAAAAATTAGGAAGTAATTACCAAACATTTTATATGGAAGGAAAGTTTCAAGTGTTTCCCCAATCCTCCAAAAGTAACTGTCAAATTCTACCAAATGATACTTTAAACTAACTCTAAAAAAAGAATAAAGCCACAGGAAATATACACAACCAAAACACTGTATTTACTCACGTATCTCTCTCCTTTTTTGTTAAACTCCATTGCACGAAAATCGAGAGAGAAAAATTATGCGGAGAATTTAATTCTCGAAAGATGTGGTTAAAGTAAGAACATTGCAAATAAAGAGTATTCATGGATAAACTACCGGCAACTATCAAAGCATTATTTATTTAAAAGATCTCTACATTGCTATTAGAATACATAGAAATACATTGCGTGCAAAACTTAACTTTCTGACTTTTGGCAGTAATTTCTCAAAATATTAACTGGGAGATAATGAAATTCATATTACAGAGGCAGAATGTAATACTTAAAAAAGAAGAAAGTATAGTAGCAAAAATATGAGTAGAACTCATGCAGTACGGAACAATTAGAAAGAGGCTTTTTCACACCAGTAATTGCATCAAGAATGTTTTGCCAATACTCATGCCGTCTGTCAGTACTCAACATCAGAACCGTTCTTGGGGTAAGAGTTCCTAATCTTCGAGCAGCATCTGTTTCAGCTATCTTGTGTTCTCCAGGGGATAAGATAGCGCTTCTAGACGTTTCATTAAAGTGTCTCTTACATGTTCAATGGGATTTAAATGAAGGCAGCACTTTGGCTAATCCATTCTGTGGATATCTTCACTTTCTAAGAGTTTCTCAACAGCGTAAGTCCTGTATGGCCGTGAATTATCATCCATAAAAACAAAGTCGGGACGTAACAGTCACAGTAAAAGGAATTCTCCTGTAAGTGAACATATTTTCAAAATGTAGACATTTGTTCTTTTGTAATAATTCCTCCCCATACAGGCACATTAGGACTACCTCAATTATAGCTTTTCCTGATGTTGATGGGAGAAAAACATGTCCTTACCTCTCTTCACATCAGTTATCGCCGAGAATCGTTTGCCAGACTCAAATGACTCTTATCGGTAAAGAGAACGTGGTTCTATACCATTGTAAGCCGTACCAACGATGAGCTACTGTCGATGATAAGTAGCGTTCAGGACGGCGAGTGAATAGGCCACCTTTTTGAACTCGTTTGGCCACGGTATACCGGAACACATGTTGTCCAGTTGCCGTGCGCAACTGCTGAGGAATGCGTACTCGCTCTCTGGTTTCGATCTTCTATCGCCTACAGGACGATAAATCATCCATTAGTTACCTTTTTTTTTCCTTGAGCGATCGATGCAAGCATTTCTTATAGCTGTATCTGTCTTTCGGAAGGCTTTCCAAGTTCGTGAAACAACACTTTTATCAGTTCGAAATCCCTGTGTGACAGACGTCCCCACCTCAAGCTAGCCAATCATTCTACCGTGTGTAACGTGTAGTCGTTCTGAACATACAAACTCAAATTTAATTGCAGAAGAAACCTTGGATATACACCTTCCTTTCTTCTTTCTGATTTGCTTCTTTTCACTGTGCGCTCTGTTTCCTCGCGCTTCGCGTTCCTGGACGTACCTTGAAATCATGGTGCTAATGTTTGTCTATGCATCCCCCAGTAGTGTATTAACATTATAATATTTAATAAACTTTGAATTCTGTGCGTATTAGTAATAAACATATAACCTGCCATCTCTAAGAGTACAATTAACTAGTACATGTACACGGAATTACCACATGAACAAAATTAAAGTCGCACTAAAATCTGTAATTCTAAAAAAGTAACTAAATACGCTTCTCACAATGTGATTATTACGCAGTCTAGTTAGTTTTATTCAAAGGCCTTTTTTACTTAAAATTTTGTATGAGACTTTGGAGTTTTAATGAACGCGATGTTATTTTCTACATAAATATGCTAACGTATACTTCGTAAATTTGTTAATAATTTATGGATTATTCTCGTTTATACACAAGCAGTGACATATAAATATTTACAATTAAAATAAAATAAAGAGTTCCATAATTGCAAGTATCTTAAAATATTTGATGTTGTGTAATAAATAGTATTAGACCACACTTAAAAATGCAATAAGACTTTCCTTAGAAATACATTTCCTGAGAAAGAGCAGTTAAGGATTTTGCTAGAAATATTTCAAATCAAGAGTAGACGTAATGAATATATTTTTTATGATGAATCTCACAAAAGGATACTTGAGTAATTGGAAGCTAAATCGGAATAACTGCAATCTGCAGTCTTAATTAAAAAGACTGGAGAAGTCTGAAATGTTCTCTTCTCAGACAATTTACTTTTCTGACGGAAAAACAATATTAACAGGCGCACTTAAAAATTCTTCAAGTAAAATGTGGTTTCTATGAATGAAAAAGGATGTTTATCTTCTTGAGGTTCTAATGAATGAAAAAGAAATTTTATGTTGTTATCTCAATTATGTATGCGTTTATGAACATATTCATCATGCTGATTACATATGCAATCGATCTGAAAAGTTATAATTTTGTTTTCCCCAGCAGCGTACAAGGTACAGCAAAACTTTTTATGAACTGCGGATCCCTGTAATTGGATGAGGTATCCATTTATACAAAGTTTAACTTTCCTCAATAGAGTTCAAACTTTTGAAGCAATCTGTACGTTAGAAAATAAATAGTATGCTTTCTATTTTGACATGAGCGGAAATACAGAGTAGTTTCGAGTAGCTCTAAGGTTTCGCGTAATACTCAGAAAATCTGCTTCTTACCGAATTATTAAGAACAGTTTACAGAGAATCTATTTTGCTGTCTGTCTAAATCATGAAGCACCTTATGTCACCATAAACCTTTCATGGATGGAGTAGCGGATTTTTGAATAAGAATAAAGAATAATTTTGGGAAATTTAGACAACTTTTAAGAAATCTATTGACACAGGCTAGGTTTATTGTTAATAAGTTAGTGATATGTGGCCAGTTTGAAATACGATACCCGTCGAGATTGCTTTATGCGTGGCCGTGTAAACTCATCTGTGCATGTATAAAAGAGAATGTGTTGAGAGTGAACAGTCCACAGGATCTCCTTCGTCCTCAAGAACTGAGAAAAGTGGAGGTTGAAACAGGTACAAGTACTTACAGGTATCTTAGCATTTGGGAAAAAGGTTTATGAGCTCTGTAGTGAGCAGAAACGTGGTTCATTCACCATATCATTGCCCCAATTCCCACATCATCATACGCAAGGGAATATTTTGCTTAAAAATTATATCTGCTTAAGATAAAAAAATATGTAAATAAGCTTTATAATTTAACTTAATAATAGCCTCTTAATTCCTCATTTTTAATCTGAATATTTCCTCTTTATTCTAAAAAATGAATAGCGTTTCTGGACTGTGTCATTTGTAGATAAATCTCTGCCAGAGCTTGCGTAATGCTTAATGACGTAGTTGATATGATGTAATTGATTCGGAACCTAAACCCTGAGAACTAAAACCTTTCTAACCTAAAGCAAAACTTTCCTCTTTGGTGAGCTGCCATATTGGATAAATACGCATTTTGCTTGCCTCTCTGTTGCTGCTTGGACGGCACTTCATTTCGGTGTGCTCTCTTCCTACCGCAATAGTATTCAAAAATGTAAATGTTCTGAAAATAGGCAATATTAGGGTTCCAAGTGAATTGTGGTCACAAATGTCACTTTAAATAAAAAGGGAATTTAATCTGCCTTGACTGCCAAGGATCCTATTCTTTTCTTCACATGTGTCTTTTTCTCTTTTTCACTAAGTGTTTTTCTCTTTTTCACTAAGTGTTCTTCTCTTTTTCACTAAGTGTTCTTCTCTTTTTCACTAAGTGTTTTTCTCTTTTTCACATGCGTCAAATATTATCTTAAGATGTTTTAGACGTTCGTCAAAATTTGGGGAAAATTTTATACTGTCATCAAAATAATTTTAAAATCTGATATTTATGTCTTTTTCTCTTTTCCATCATATTACATATATTAAAGATTAGAAATTTGAAAAATTGATTAGTGATTAATAATTATTATTAATGAGCCACAAAAATGCTGCGAAATTAAATAAATAATCAAGAGGTAAACAAAACAGAATTATTATTCTCTATAGTGATAAATTTACTAAAACAAAAAACAAAATAAAATATTTCAAATTTTTGAAGTCAAACAAGAGAATAAAAGTAATTTCACACAGTATTAAATTATAAATAGCTGTGTTATTATTTATATCCTATCTTTACTTCTAACTAATTAATCAAGGTAAAACAAAACTGCTTACCTTGTTCCAATGGGTTCGGCCAGGGCCAATGGGCTGAAGTTCCTCTGTGCTGTGCATCTGCAAAATCTTGAGAGGGATAATCCATAAATGATAAACTTTCCTAACACAAATATATTTAATGAAGACGTTAACGGTTACATAATTTTTACATAATGAAAGGTTTAAATGTTCGCACGACGCAGCGTGCGACTTCTCAGTCCCGAGTTCTCGTGATCTCTAGCGAGAGTTCATAGTTCAAGATGACGTAACTCAGCCATCGGATCTCAGCAAGAGTTGAGTTGCAACATCCTCCCGCCCGGAAGGACAATTGCCGTAATTGTCCTCATTACATTCCAGCTCCACCGGATATAGTAATTGCACTGGTCTTTTAATCGTATGTCCATTGGGCAAGCGGACAGCACAGGCTCTCACCTTGCCATCTCTCCCAGGAAAGACTTATGGTGCCCATCTTCCACATCAGCCGTGGAATTTTATCTTCATGCACTAATACAATAGTTCCTTTATTCAAACAGGTTCCTGTTTTTGCCAGTTTGGAATTATGAGCAGATTTTAAATTCATCAAATAATCCTGCCTCCATTTTCGCCAGATTCATTCTACCAGTAACTATTGATGTCTAAATCGACGTGTAAGACTCTCTTTTGTTGAAGTTAATTTAGAGCTTCCTTGTGGCAATGATAGTAATCGTCTTCCTATTAAGAAGTGACCAGGGGTCAAAGATTCTGGCTCTCCTAGATCTGAGTATGTAAATGTTAAATGTCTGGAGTTCAATATAGCTTCCCTTCTGTTATGACTGTCTCTAATTCCCTAAACGTTAAGGATGATTTGCCTAAGATTCTCTTCAGAACAGCTTTAAGAGACTGAACCATACGCTCCCAAAAGCCTCCCCACCATGCCGCCCTCTCAACTATAAATTTTCCATTTGATTCCTTGCTTAGAGAACTCGTCTTGAACTTTATTGCTTTTCATCACCTCGTTCAATAGCTCTAATCCTTTTTTCGCTCTTTTAAAGGTTTTGGCGTTATCGGTATACACTATTCGGCACAAACCTCTTCTCGCGATGAACCGTCTAAATGTAAGCAAACATTTTTCTGTGGAGAGGTCAGCCGTAAGTTCTAAATGCATGGCTCTAGTTACAGCACAGGTAAACAGTAAACGTATGTCTTAGATAATTCTTTTCGACTTTTGACGTACAGTGGACCCGCGTAATCTATTCCGGAGTTCTCAAATGGAAAGGCTTCTCGGCATCTGTCTGGTGGGAGAGGTGCCATATCTTGCATGACAGGTTTAGTTCGAAATATCTTGCAGACATTGAAATTGTGCAGAACACTTTTAATTTTTCGACGAGCCTTCAGCAACCAAAATTTATCTCTTATCTGATTTAAAGTATCTGCTATTCCTCCATGCCCTACCACCTGATGACTGTGAAGAATAATTAGATCAGTCAAATGATCTTTGTCGGGCAACACGATTGGATGTGCTTGTTTGTAATTTGAATTGAATTTTCTAATCGTCCACCAACACGAAATACACCACTTTAGTCTACAAATGGATTGAGGGACCTTAGTTTTGATTCTGAACTTAATTCATTGTTGTTCTTCAATGCCCGTATTTCATTTGTAAAATTTCGCTCCTGAACACGTTTGATCCAATAAGTTTCTGCCATTTCCAATTCGGTAACCTGCAAACATCCTGATAATTTCGAGGTAATTTTAATATTGTTGATGAACCTTAAGCACCACGCAGTAATTCGGTAAATTCTGTGTAAATTGCTGTAATTTTGGGTTTTAAATAAATCTTCGGAAGGTTCGGTAAACGCATTTACGAAAACTTCCTTTGATGTTTTTCTTAGTTCCTTGTTGGAATCTTCAATGTTCTTGTGGAACATAAATTCGGTTTTGGCCAGTGTTCCATTTCTTCCTTTCAACCACGTGAGCCCTTCCCACCATATGCTATTCTACTTCAGATGTTTGACATTTTCACCTCTAGTTAGTAAATTCAGCTGGATTATGTTCACCAGGCGTATATCTCCAGTTCAAGACATCTGAATTCTTCTGTATTTCCTTTACTCTGTTCTGAACGAATGACTTACACCTTTTCACATCACTTCGAATCCAGTGTAACGTTATACTAGAATCAGTCCACATATATACAATTAAATCAGTGTCTGGAAGTTTCTTTTTTGATGTATTTTACAAGCGAGAGCCTATCAAAGCACCCATCAATTCCAATTCTGGGAAGTGATAATTTTTTCAAAGGTGCTACTCGTGATTTTGATGTAATGAAACTTGTATGAATGACTCCATTTTTCGAATAACGAAAATACAGAACAGCCCCATAGGCCTTCTGACTCGCATCTGTGAAACAGTGTAACTGTAAACCATCCTTTATATCCCTTTTCCCAGCACCTGCAAACTGATGTCTTGGTATTTCCAAACTAGAAATATGAGCTAATTCTTTAGATCACCACCAGCTTTGCCAATTCTTTCTGAGATTTTCTGGTATTTCAGTGTCCCATGCTATCTTTTGTTCCCATAAATCTTGTAATAAAATCCTAGCTCGAATGTTTGTATGGATTTAAAAAACCCCAGTGGATCAAAGAACGTCCTACAAATCTCAAGATTTCCCTTTTAGTTGGTATGTTATCTATCCTTTTGGCATCTTTTACCAACTCTTCAATTTCTATCAAAAATGTATCATTTGACCTATTCCATATGTGTATCCCAATACTTTAGAAGCAAGTCGAATCGTGTGAAAAATCTTCTTCATCCATACCCTTTGTAAATTCGTTTCATTCGTTTTCCACTTCCGCATGTTAAATCCACCTTCTTTCAGTATGCGTTTAATATGTTCCGATTCCTCGAATGCTTCTGATTCTTCATCTGCTCCGGCGATTAAATCGTCAATATACATATTTTCAGTTAGCATGGAAAATACGTTCGGATACTGTAACTTGTATTTGTCAACATGTACATTAAGAGTTGCTCTGAGAAGAAACGGACTATATGTTGCTCCTCAAAAATTACCTTGTCATACGAAGAGCCTTTATTTTGGTTCCATTTAATTCACCATCGTTCCATAGAAACTTGACTGCGTTTCTGTCTTCATCAGCAAGAGAAATCTGCAAGAATGCTTGTTCGATGTCAGCCGTAAACGCAATTCGATTTTGACGGAACTTAAGGAGCAATTCCAGTATGTCTGGACACATCTTAGGACCTGAATGTAACAGTTCATTTAATGGACAAACAATGCTCCGCATGTGACGAAGCGTCAAAAACCACACGGAGTTTTGAAGTTTCCTTGATTTCTCTTATAACGGCTTGATGCGGCATAAAAATAAGTTATTTGGTCCAATTTCAATGTTAGTCTATCTTCGGCGATTCCTTTCATTTAAGTATACCTATCAATTACTTTCGCGATATTCTAGTCATAGAACTGTTGATTATTCTTGAAATCTACGACTTAAACTCTTAAATCTAATTTTAGCAATCTCCAGATTATCTTCCAAGCTCATTTGAATTATGATTCCAAGGAAGGCGCACAATATAACGATTGTTTTCAAATTTCACAGATTTTTTTGAAATTATCGAAAACTAAATTATCTTCTAATTCGAGTTCCTTATCCGAATCATAATTTATCCCCATAGAATCGAGCTCCCAGAGATTCTTCAGCAACCTAGACAGTGATTCATTCTGTGTATCTTTTATTATTATGAACCACAACCTTCATAATATTCACATTACTTGGGAAAATTCCGTAAGCCCTTTCTGTTCCACTAATGGTCCAACCCAATTTTGTTTCAACCGCTACTAAGGAATTAGACAGTCTGTGAACCTCACCCGTAACTATCTTCCAATAAAAATCCGCTCCTATCAACAAAGAAATTTTCGTCGGCGGTTTATTCCCATGGTCCCCATTCATCGGAAAGTTGTATGCCCTGTTTTTTAATAAGATTAACTATTTCATTTCTAGGGGAATGAATATGTGATCCATTAATGACAGGAATAATTAAAGCTTCTATTTTGATTTCATTTCATCGATTCTTCGAATTACGCAAAATGAGCCTGGTTTTTTTTTTAACATTCTGCGCTTCAGACGTCGTGCAGCCGAAAGAGAATATTTTTATTTTTTCTTCTCCAATAACGGGAAGTTTTAATTTCTTACAGATGTCCTCTCTAATAAATGTTCGCTGCGATCCTAAATCAAACAAAAAGCGAACGCTTTGCTGGCGTCAATTGTCTGTGTTTATAATTTCAGCTCGTGCTGAAAAAAGAAATGAGTTATTTGCTGTTGCGCAATCGGAAACAGAAGAGACTACTTCCCCTTGGACGGGACTCTTGTTTGACGCATTCGATTCGTCAGAATGTATCAATGTATGATGTCGCCGATTGCAAATACCACAAGTTAGTTTCGATTTGCACATCCTAGCTAAATGGCGTCCTTTTGAGGCATCTGAACAAAAACCACCCTTCGCCTTAACGCTTCCTTTCTTTCTGGCACAGTTTTTTGACATGATTCTGACGTATGATTTTCAGAACAGAATAAACAGCTATTAGATAGTGATGTGTTTAACGCTGCCGCTGAAGGAATTCTACCCTTATTATAATCCCGATTTCTTTCGCAGTCTCGAAAACGTTTTGCAAACTGCCGCTTATTTTTCAAATGGGATTTCTTTTCAGTGACTTCAGAATCTGTTGGCTTAATTAAAAATCCTGTACGGTCTCGACTTTCTATTTCTTTTCTTAGAAAATGGAGCAAATTCGTAATTTTTGTCTGATTATCATCTTCATATTTCCTATTAAATTCTAGTGCTAAATCATTCGGAATCACCTTTATTAATATCGGATACAATAAGGTACTGTACGGATCCGGTAAAATATTACACGATTCTAATCCTCTAATTGTACTTCACAACGATCATATAATTTTCGAAGTGCTGTCACATCGCCAGACCTTTTTTAGCCGGAGTCAGAGTTAATAAATTGTCATATGGGTATCTATTATTAGTTCTTTGCGTCCGAAGCGATCTTTTAATATTTTCACAGCCTTCTCGTAATTCTCCGCTGTTAATGTCAACCCTTGTATTGCAGTTTCTGCATCGGAAGTAAGAATTGACTTTAAATAGTTAAATTTATCTACGGCATGTAGACTTTCGTTTTCGTGTACAGCTGTCTCAAATCGTGCCCAAAACCCGGGCCAACTGCACACGTCCTTTCCCGAAAATGTTTCCAGGGACAATTTCGGGAGTTTAATTTTGTTTTGCGATTCAGTGACATTTCCATATGAAGTAGAATTAGCGCTATGTGGATTAGTATCTAAATATCTTTTCGCGCGTAATTTCCAAATAATAATTTTACTTTTATACTCTTCTCTAGACATTATCTCATCTTCTAAATTTGCTACATCAATTAAAGTTTCAATACCATTATCCGCTAAGATTATTTCTTCTTCTTTACTAATTAACTGAGCAACCGTTTCTTCAATTACATTTTTATCCCCCTCATTAGCAACTTCTGTTTCTATTTTATTTATTAGCCTCGTAACTACTGCTCTTATAGCAGATCGTTTCTTTTTTAAT